AGTTTTGGGATGGTGTAGGAAGTCACATGCAAGACAAACCCTTGGACCCASAGTGTCAAAACACTTTGTTTCACATGCCTGGATGCAAACTTTCACAAAAGGTTTTATGAATAGGGCAGTAGCTATCCCYAGTCTGTCTGTCTAGACTTAGTGGTTGCTTGTTAACTAGAAGGATCTTTGATTTCATAGTTATTTATTGCCTGAAATCATGTGACCTTTGAGTTTATAGTATACTAGTCTTAACACCTATTTATTATGAATAAGCTTAATATTATTAATATGGTCTTGATTTTTTCAGATCTGTGTCAGCCCATAATTAATTCCGTATTCCAAGGGTTTTGCTGCTGCACTGCAGCATTTTAGGCTTTCACTGTCTTCCTTTTTTTTTCCTTTTCTCTTTTTTTTTTTCCCCTGCCTCTGGTCCCTAATAAACTAGTGAATAGTGAAACAATTTGTCTTCTTTTTTTTTATTCTGACCTGGTCAGCTACCTTTTAATGCCAGCAAAAGTATCATTATTTCTAACTAGTGTTTTCTGTGCAAAGTGTAGTATAAAACATGTATTAATGTGTTTTCATTTATTCATATGTGGTAAAGAAATAAAAAAGGAAAAATCTGCATTTTTAGTTGCACTGAAAGTCAGTGAGAAGTCAGGAGTACTTTTGGCCATTTTCCATCTTCTATTTTCCTAATACTGCCCCAAGAGCACCCAAGAGCACCCAAGAGCATATTAAAGAGGAGTGCATCTCTGATTCATCCTTTCAGTATCTACTTGGACATTAGGGAGAATTTTTGAACATCAGGAAGCATTTCTTCACTGAAAGGGTTGTCAGCCATTGGAAAGGCTGCCCAGGGAAGTGGTGGAGTCACTGTGTCTGAAAGTGTTCAAGAAATGAATGTACTCAGCACTTAGTGCTGTGGTCTAGTTGACAAAGTGGAGACCAGTCAGAGGTTGGACTCATTCATCTTGGAGGTCTTTTCCAACTTTAACAACTCCCTGATTTATGAATTTAATGTTTGTTAATTTGCCTAAAACCTTTCTGAATCTTCTGAAATCATAAGCATCTGGCAGGAGAGCAACTCARATGCTCTTTAATAACTCTTAAGTTACCCTTTCTTAAAGTACTCTCTCTTCTACCTGCCTTRAGCTTCTCTCCTATTAGTTACTGTATTTCAGGATTTAATGGCCAGCAGCTCTTCACTTTACCTACCATCTTTGTGTTTCTCTAAACCCTGATAYCTTGTTCCTTGGCCTTCTTGTCTCCATTACTGAAAAGTTTAGGACATTTTAAGAATAAAAGTGAAGTTTCGGATGTGTAGGAGGTCACATGCAAGACAAACCCTTGGACCCAGATAACTTTTTCATAAACTTTTCATAAGTCGTTTGATCATTTTTAGCTGTCCTTTTTCTAAATCTAGGAAAGGAAGGGGAAAGAAAAAGAGAACAAACCAGAGAAATATGTGTGAAGTGTTTATATAGGAGTTCTCACAGAAACTGTGACTTGCTAGCAAACATATGGGTTTTTTTTTCTTGGTTTATATTTAAATTTGAGGAACAATTTTTGTATTAAAACAATGTGGCTTTTAATCAATCTTCATCTCCAAAAGAAGTTGAGATGACACCTTAGGTTGTGTTAGGAGAAGGAAAACATACAGGCAGAAGCATAAGTGTGGAGGARAAGATGCCTGGTGATATCACAAAGCTGACAGCCATAAGTAAAAGGAACAATAAAGAAAATATAAAAACTAAGAACATTTTTCTGTTCCTCTGTATTTGTCTCAATGAAGCCAGGCAATGGCATCTCCTGTTGAGATAAATGTTCCTTTTTTTAGTAAAGAGTTSTGTCAGAACTATATCTCTTGATAAAAACAATAGTAACTGATTTTACTTGGAATACATGATYATTCCCTCTTACAGGTTACATAAAATTGAATGATTGGAACTTGTTAGATAGCAAAAACAGGGTGTGGAGACAACATCTGAGGCCAAGTCTCTATTTGCAGTGAATGTAAGGAACATTTTGACCTTGTAAATCTGATAGTAGCCTCATGAGACACCTGTATAAACTTGTTATGTATGACATTGAGTCTATAATTCCATATTGTGAAAATAGGAATTGTAGGAGAATAAATTGTTCGGCTGAACATCAGTCAATATTTATGCCAGAAGCTTTAAGAACAAGGGATAATGGCTGCAAAGTTCCCACATGTAGCAAATGTTCAGAAGTTCAAAAGACTGATGTCAGGCAAATTTAAGTGGGTCGGTCCCTGAGATATTTGAGCTGTCTATTTGTAAAAAAAACCAACCAAACAAACAAAAAAACCCCAGTAGCGATGTGGTTTCTAAACATTTTGTCTTTGACTRATAAAGATACTAAGCATTACTTTGTGTTGTCCAACCTGCGGCGCTTCTCTGTGAAATTCTTTGWATCTTTCATTCCTTCTTGTTGCTTTCAGAAGGATTCAGAACTGTATTGCACAATCAYATATATGAAATGATGAGACTATCTCTTGGACTACTAACAACTTTCTCAAGTTTCAAATCTTTTGTTGGCGTACACTGTATTTTGAAGGTCTTACATGAACTGTTCACTACCTTCTTAATATTAAACAGCATTTCAAACAACCCTAATCAGACACATTTGCACTGTATCAYTGCATGATATGAAATATAGTCAGCTATTTTATATTTCTTCTTTATTATAAGTGCACAGATTTTCCATGTGTCTAGATATCTATATGTAAATAGCAAGAAAAACAGATGATTTCTTTGCCTGAAAAGGGCAAWGCACTGGCTCTATAATCAGAGGCAGGCTGAATTATGGCTTTATTTGGATTCCAGTCTGTTCGTTCCTCTCCATGAATAACCAATTATGATTCATCTTTCCAAATACCAGTTATTTCATAAATCCTGCTGGAGAGCACAGCAGTATAGCTAAAGTGCTGTCATGGAGCTCTACCCATAAAGTCACTGATGCAGTTATAATATATCTGCACATAATTTAATTCCCTTGTTGCATCTGTTGAAGGTATGCATTCCTCTATTGACACATTTAAAATCCTTTAATTAAAGATGCTGTTCCTTGACGCTTGTATATATTTAGAATTCTAAGCAGGTGTTGTTTTTAAAGTATTCAAGGGATTTAATTGGGTCCTCTATTGCATATAGTAAAAGCCAGATTTTTCTCTTCAGAGGCCTCTAGTTTCTATGTCCTAAGGTAATTATTTTACTTAGTCATGATAACAAGTCCTGAACTTCTGGATGTCCTGGTGCTGCAATAATTTAATGATTTTCTTTCCACATTTGCTTTTGCAAATTGTGTCTGTTAGAGAAAGCGATTTCCTGGTTCGTCTTTACAATCAGAAACTGGTCACCACTCATGGAGTATTTGCTTCTTTTTTTTTCAATGGCTGAAAGGGGAGCACTGGTGATAGCACAGCTAGTTGACCCCTGAAATATTTTTCTGCCTATGTAAAGATAATCTTATGATTTTGAAAATACACTTTTGGGTAAGTGACAACATGCACAGTGAAAACCATAATGGTAATGTTGAATTTTTTGGGTCATATCACAGAGTGAAAAGCTGATCTTTTGAAATGCTTTCAGTATTTCTGGAAATTAGTCCAATAATTTTGTTCTGGGGTAAATATGCAAAGCATGCTGCTTAGTCTATGATTATTTTTCATAATTTTCTCTCTGTTTTCATGCCAAATAATCTTTAATTGTTACAAGGCAAYAGGAGTGATAATACTGGCCAAGCTGCATTCTAGTTCCATAAGARAGATTAACATTTTTCCCTCTTAAAAAGGCTGTATTAAACAAAAATAAGTAATGCTTTTGGTTTCATGGGAGGCATTGCATGTCATACCATAAAGCTGCCTAGGCATCTCTACTTTTCTGACAACTGAAACTTAATGGCAGCTTGGCACTTGTCTCTTATGAGTCTGAAGATGTATGAAGGAGAAAATGGTCCTAATCTTTCTTTTCAAATATCCTCTACCATAAGAGCATTTTCTGTATAGTATGAAAAAGTGCACTGTGAAATTCTTAGCATCCTTTGTTCCTTGTTGTTGCTTTCAGAAGAATTCAGAACTGTATTTCACAATCACATATATGTGCAATATATAAAAAAMCCATTTTCATCTTCCTTGCTATGTTCTGAAAGAAATAAAAATGTTAGTGTTCTCCAGAATCTGCAGAAGACCTATGTATCAGGACCCACTCTGCTATTGCTCCAGCACAGTAGCATATACCACTGTTCAAACATACAGTATCAGGAAGCAAACTGAGCAAATGAAAATGTGCTCATCATTTTGAATTTGAAGTCTGCATTAGAGTATCCTTTATTTAAAATCTGAAGGGTTAAATACATTTTAGTATGAAAAGAAAAATTACAGAAATAAAAAGAAGGTTGCCTTATTAAGTAAAAAAAGTTAAGAGAAAGAATGTTATAAGAAAGAGACCTTCATGGCTCTACAACATTATGAAAGTTGAAGTGGAGATAGTCAAATACTCAGTTCATAAGCAATCCCCAGTCTAGTTAGATTAAGCAGTACTTATAATGAAAGAGATTCAAAGAAAATATCTGGGAAATTAGTTTGCATTTCTCACAAAAAAGTTATTGTTTAAAACATAAATTTTTCTTTACAAACAGGCTGATCAGGGCTTATCTCAAATATGATGGACCTTAATCACCTGAGAATTACAGCAAGATTCACTTTTGTTTCAGTAGGATGAGAATCTTACCTAACACATAGACTAAGAAGTGCAAGCCTAAATATTACCTTTATTTAATGACAAACATTAAAGTTACAAGAAGAAAAGCTAGTGAACATAGAAGACAACTTGTCAAGCTTAATCAAATTTTGCATTGAAGCAGATCTCTCATTACTGCTATTTCAAGTGATTTGGTGTTTCTGAAAGAATTTACTGTGACAGGTTGCAACACAACTGCAGATGATTTTATAAGGATTCACTTAGTGGGATTTAATGGAACAGTACCTTTCTCTTAGCTTTGAGCTGCTCRTGGTATTTGTTGGATGTGTCACCTGGTATTTCTCCTCCCCAGAGGGTAACTCCCACCATGGARTAAGTGATGCCCATGACAAGCAGTGGAAAGCAGTAGACCAGGACAATCACAATGACATGATACCTGCAATGGAAAGGTATTAAGGTGGTAAGTGCTTTCAGAAGAGCTATACCAATGGAATGGGCTGCCARAAGTCAAGACTGCTACTTTAGCACAAAGAATGTTTTATATTAACTGTCTAGTCCTTGGTGTTTCCACTGTCCACTTGAAAGTCTTGCATTGCAATGCACATTCGTTAACATTTTAATGCATGTGCTTTATGGAGTGTCGATTGCTGAGCCTGCACTAGCAYGTGTTAAGAATGACTCTATAGTTACCATGATTAGTGACTGCAGAATAAGATGTGTTTGTAACTAGCTGAGCTGATTTAATTGTTGCACAGCCAAGTATCATGAGGGCAAGCTAGGCATTTGGAGCTCTTGTCTGGACCCCAAATAAAAGAGAAAAATAAGTRTTAAGTATTTTAGTGATATAGTGGTGCAGACCCTGATAAGAGTCCCGTCACCTAATATTTTTCCTGTGGCAGATCTGTTGCACTCAGGCACCACAGGTCTGTAGCCTATGTGCGGTATAGTCACCACTGCTGATGTAAGCAGTGGGAAAACAATGATCATTTCTTTTGCCTCCTTTTAGTTCCTGGTTAAATGCCAACTTCAGATAAAAGCCCAGTGAATGATCAGTGAAGAATCCCCAGCTGTCACTGAGTGTGACCTTCCTGCCCTAAAGCCAGATGTCTGTGTATGCCTCCTGAAGTGATAAAAATTACATATGACCAGGACTTCTTTCACCTGCCTCAAAAAGAGCAAAAGGTCAAATTTGATTTTAGATGGTTACACAGGCTTTCAGCCTTGGACACAATGTTCTTCTTAAATGCCAGTGAAGACATGAAAGGACAGATGCCTAGGTAGCCATTTATTCCTAATTCTACCAGAGAGACAAACAGGATATATTAAACTTAAACTGGTATTTTCACTTTCAGAAACTGGAAYCTGTTATAGGTCATTTGGTTTTCTCTTTTGGGCTAATATGTGAGATAAGTAATTGTGATAATGTAACAGATTGAAGTGGCAAAATCCAGCCCTCTCATGAAGTGATSTAGAGAAAAGCAAACTGGTTAGGGCCTTCCTATTCTCTACAATTACCTGAAAGGAGATTGTAGAGAGGTGGGTGTTGGTCTCTTTTCTTGCATAGCAAGAGAAGAAATGGCTTCAAGTTGTGCCAAGGGAGGTTTAGATTGGATATTAGGAAAAGTTTTTTTCATGGAAAGGGTTGTCAAGCATTGGAACAGGCTTCCCAGAGGAGCAATTGATGTAACATCCCTGGATGTATTTTAAAGATGTGTAGATGTAGCACTTAGTGATGTGGTCTAGTGGCAGTGTAAGGTTGATGGTTGGACTTGATGATCTTAGAGGTTGTTTCCAACCTAAGTGATYGTCCTAGGTTAGCTGAGTATTGTATTCCTATCATCTGCTTATGTTAGAGGAAAGTTAAACAACCCTTCTGTAACTATACATGATAGTCGAGACTGCTCTGGTTTGTTTGGTGATGTTCCTCCCTTCAAGGACAATGGGAGGGAAAGGGACAAGACACAGACGTTTGTTTTTTTTTTCTCGGGAGGCTCGCTCTCTCTCGGGATCAGCGGTGGAAAAAGAAGCTGCTCTTCCTGGGACTGCTCCTTTTTCTGCCTTTCTTTGGACTTGTTTTTCCTCGAATTCGYTTTTTCCCTCTTCRTCATCTGAGAATTGGAGAATTCTCGTGGCACAGCAGGGAGAAAGACCCTTCAGTGAACTATCGGATAGAGACTCTGTCGAACCCCTCTGGGGGCCCGGAGGGGAAGCTACTCCCAGGAGGGAAGAGAAAGGCTTTGGGATCTAACAGCTGATTCCACAGGTTTTTTTTTTCTTTGTGTTTATATAATTTTTAAATAAATAGTTTTTKYYCCCCCTTTTCTTTTCACTTTCYTCTCTGKGGAAAAGGTTGTCTCTAGGACCCGGGTGGAGAAAAGAGAGGGGGGAGGGGGKTTTGCTGGAACTTGGGAGTGTTTTGCTCCCATTGAATTCATTCAAACCACAACAGTGATTCAYAGGAGAGACTGGAAATCCTTGTTTTCCTGGCTAGGATAAAAAGGAAACTTGCTTTGAATTGCATGTTATGTTCCAAGTTCTGACCATCTCTGTCTGTATAGAATAGCCATCTTAGGTGGAGCAGTGATGGTAAACATGCAGCACGGGAGGGAACACATTCAGAGACGTGGAAGAGAATAAATGTGTTCTGTTTATCACGTAGAATGCTTTGTCATCCTTGCTTAGGAAGCTGGCTCTACATTTCTCAGTGATCAAAGCTGTCCGTTATTCTGCATGTAGAGTATCTGCATGACACGCTACAGATTTTACCAAATCCATTTTAAGTCTAGACAACACCATGCACAAGTTTAAAAAAACAAAAGCTTACGTAAAATGCTGTTTTGGGCCACCTGGCCATGCTACATAGCAAAGAGTTCTCCCAGGCATCACCTTGGTTATGGAGTATAGGCACTGGGGAAAGGCCAACAGGAAAGCCAAAATCCATATGCTCCCAATGACCACCTTGGTAGCAGTTGCAGAGAGCCTGGGTTTCAAGGGATCAATGATGGCCATATATCTGTAAAAGAAAGCAAAAAYCTTTGGGTAAGAAGTCTTCAGGAATTTATATGTATCTAGAATCAGCCAAAGATAGGATAAAAGAAAAGGATAAAAGCAGATATTCATCTTCCTGTAGTTCTGATGTCATTGTGCTCTTTGGGTGGTTCAGCTCCAATGAAGGCARTGCTGAAAGGAGAAGAAGGTTCATTGGATATTATTTTGCAGCCATGGGACACCCAGTTAATCATATGTATATCAGTAGAGCAGCCTTTTTGCTAAGAGTTAGACYATTCTGTTACTATGCAGCCTGATTGAAAAGCAGTATAGCTGGATCCTCTGTTAATCTGCTAGGTCACAAAGCATTTATTTCTAATTAAAAAATTAACCAAGCTGTCAGAATTATTAGTCATCTGTCCCAGGGCTACAAGAACTTGCTACATCCACATGCATTTATTTCAGTTGAGATAGACCAACCTCAGATTGTCTGCCAAAGAACCCCAGAGCAACTGGTTCCTGCAGAGACTGAGAGAACAGCCAGTTTAGAACTAGTAAAAGCACCAAGGGAAATAGATGCACAGAGGAAGAAAACCCCTCATTTACCTTCCCAGTTCCTGTGTTCCCTGGTAGGATATCAGTCTTCTTGCTATCCCATGACTATGTCGGCAGTTCATGTTTACTGGTAGCCTTAGAAGAACATGCAAAAAGTTTACTCTAAATAATTACAATATAAAAGCTTAGGGAACAAAAGCAACAAGAGAGAAAGCATCAAGATAATTGGTAATAGAAAAGCAACTCTTGTTTTCTGTCTTTTGATCTCTCTTAAAGATAGAAGGAACAAGGGAGATAGAAAATTTATCCATCATTTTTTTGATGAATATGTTGTGTTTACTGCAATTGAAAGATTAGTATTCATTTCAAATGAAGGAGGATGTGATATGTATTAATTGTTACAGTACACACCTAGGTTCTTGGCAGACTTGCCCAAGATTTTTAGGTACAGACATTAGCCATGAGACAATAACAATAATTCATAAGATAATGTTCCTGATCAGAATTTGTGCAAGAATCTTCTGCATCCATATTTACCTGTTGTGCCACACAAATTTCGCTCAAGGTAGTCTTACTTTTCGGAAATTTTATACTTGACAGATAAGTAATTACAGAACAGAGGTTTGTTTTAGCAAAGGTAACTCTGTTTGTAGTTAACCATAAAATATGTGATAAATCTAACATTGGTCATAATAGTGCTACCCACCCTCTAGCAGACATGATAACTGCCTTTATATTGTAAAACATCTAAATGTTGTCAGAAACAAGGGGTGATCTAAAAGCAGCTTCCATTCTGAATCATCAATTTCCATATCTAGAATTTCAAGATTGTTCAACTTTTATTGATTTTACTGGACTTAGTATTTTCTCTCCACAGGGTAATTAGTTCCCCTATCTTTCACATGCCTGTTGTTATTTTATTTCAGCTAAGCTGGTGCTTTTGTATTACACATTATAAAATAGTTTTATTTGAGCAGTTCTCAAGAAAATATACATAAGTTGGATTGTTGCTCTCTACCACCTAGCTCCCTTCTCCTCCAAAGAGCAAGTACAACTTGGTAATGAAGTCAGGTTTGTAGTCATGAACCTTGTCTTTCAAATTGAGCTGGCTTTTGTGTGGGCTGCCAAGTACTGTCCAAATGTTTGATTATCTTGACTTSTAGTAAGTGAAAATCCATAAACAAATAATCATTTTCACATGCTTGTGAGACTCCTAAGGCATCTCCTCCTAGCCTGGAATTATTCCTTCAAATTGCTACTTTCCTTCAGATTGTACATTGCTATTATTTTATGTGCTATTGTCAGATTTCTATTACATTCACATTATTCTTATTCCCAGTTATATTATTCTTATTCCCAGTRGACAACAGCAGTAGTTCTCATTGCCTGAGATAAAATTTGTTTGTTTTATCTCCCTGTCTGCCCTTTAAAGACATGGATTGTTTGGGTGAAATGATTCATATAGCTGTGCTGATGGAAATTTTAACAATTGYCTGAGCAAGGTAAGTCAAAGGACAAGGATCAGATGGAAAGCAGGCTATTTATCTTTCGAGTTTGAATTTGAGTGATAAGCAAACAGCCTAGCTATTGCACAAGATTGATTACAAAAATGTAGCAGGCAGTCATTCTAAGAAACAAGATGGGAAGGGATGGAGGAACCTTGACTATTCCTTCAATAATGCCTTTGTGCAGGATAGATTTAGCTGAAGAGAGTATTGACAGCTCTCCGTTACAGAGCCTTTGATAACAAATCCAAGTTATTTTACATTGCCAGTACACTAACAATTACAGTGAGGTATCTAACATGTTCTCTAAGTGGCTTTTCTTAGAAATAAAATTGCTTAATTAGCATAGTGAGATATTGCTTTATAACTACAATTGTTACATTCMCTCAGATTTGTCATGTAAGTTTGGTAGCATTTTCTTAGAGAAACCATGATTGTGCAAGTATAGTAGAAAATGTGGAATGACCCTCAGATGCAGGTCAAAMATTGCCTCCACATTTGAGCAGACTCTGAATGTTAATCTGTAGTCAAAAGAAGCCTTGAAAAGAACTGAATTCTTCCTTAATATTTGCTGCTATTTGCAAAGGAGACACACACTCCTGCCTGTAATTTCATTTGCTGTAAATGTTACCTTGCCATTACAGATATGTAAGGGTAGTTTGTCTATCTCTTTAGCCTCCACCTTGTAGTAGCAATAGCTAAGTTTTTAGCTGTCCCTTGCCATTGATCTCTGTCCATTAAGCAAGGGTGTTTGTGGTAGTAATGAAAGCTCTTGCTAGCACAGGCAAGACATTCCATGCTTAGRTGTTGCTCAGAAAATCAGTGAGATGAGGAGGTTAAGGATGGGATAATGTGTGTGTATGATGGGTATATTGCCCCTGTATATTACAAGTTACCCATGACTGACAACTGACTGTCGTGTTTCATGGTGTAGCTCTGTCACTAGAGCTCTTATTTTTCACTGTCATATCCTTACATATATTAAGGATGGCAAAGTGCCTGTTACAAAGGGGAAGAGCAGACATGGTGTCTGAATTGTGCACTAAATGGTGCTGAACATGGTATTGAAAAAAATAAGAGTGTTTGAGTAGGCCAGGAGTGAAAGGGAGAATGATGAGATACAGGATGTAGCAAAAGAATTGACACTGGGGAACAGTGTACTGAATGCAAAAATAGAAGTGGAATGAGAAAAATGAGAACCTAATGAGAGAAGATAGAAAGGAGAATTGTAGAAAAACAGCATACAGAAATTGTGTTCAGAGAGGAGAGAATGAGAAAGGAAACTGGGGTCATGTAAGGGCAAAAGACATCCCTAGTGTATCAGAGAKTCCAAGATAAATAGAACTGGTATAAAACCAGAACATTTTGGCACTGGGGCTTTGTGGTGGCAAGCCTTTCTGCCTCTGCAGGTGTATGAGAGAGAACTCAACCATAAATTGCATGCAAAGGGCACAGCAGGACTTCTTGGATGCTCTGTCTTAATGACTGTTCTGCTACTCCACTGTTCTTTCAAATGGTCTGAACTTCATCATAGAATATGTGGAATTGGAAGGGACCCATGAGGATCATCAAGTCCAACTCCTGACCCTGCAMARCACCATCCCCCAGAATCACACCATGCCCCAGAGCATTGTCCAAACACTTCATGAGCTCAGACAGGCTGTGCTGTGACCACTGCCCTGGGGAGCCTCTTTCACTGACCAGCCATCCTCTGGGTGAAAAATCTTTTCCTGATACCTGACTTAAATCTCCCGTGACTCAGCTTTCTGCCATTATCCCAGGTCCTGTCACTGGTCRTGAGAGTAATCAGTGCCTGTCCCTCTGCTTCTCCTTGAGAAGATGTTGGACTGCAGTGATGTGTCCCCTCAGTTTCCTCTTCTCCAGACTGAATGAGCCAAGTGTTCTTCTTATCAGGCTTCCCCTCCAGACCCTTCACCAGCTTTGTGGCCACCTCTGCATGCTCCTTGAGAGATTAATGTCTTTTTGATGTTGTGGTGCCCAAAATTTATGCAGTTGTTCTGAAGCCACAGACATGTGCAGAGGCCCTCATAGGTTCACCGGGTTCTATGGTATTTATACACAGACCTTGTATCTCTCCACACCTCCTCTCTAAGGACAGTAAAATATGGTAGGCATTTGAGCTGAAGAAGSATTTCCAATGGCTGCAGGCAACTGAAGAATTGTTACACCACTGAAAAGCATTTTGGAGCCACATAGACATTTTTTCAGTGGAGTGTGCTGTGCCAATTTGCTTTGTAGTCTTTGGACATTTACTGTTCAGTCTGTCACCAGGCTGGAGCAGTTGGACTCCCTGCTGAATAAAGGGCCCTGAACTCCCACTGAGGTGGTTTGATTTAAAGATCAGACTTCTAATGCTTTCTCACTCCAGTGGGAGTTGCTGATAGTGCCACAGATAGCTTATTCCAAACAAAAAAGTAGGGATGTGAATGCAAAATATRCATTGCTGAAAGGAATGATCTCATCATACTCATTTATCACAACAAGCAGAAATCATTATTATCCCACCCAACATAAACATTTATACTTGGAAGTAAATTATGAGATTRAATATGCACATATAGAAATGCAGGAATGGAAATAAGTGCAGGTAGAGACTCAGGCCAGCACTAACAAGGATGTGGATTGCTCAACAACTGCACCATGCTCTTCTATCTGTGACTCTTAAGCATTTTTTGGCAGCACTTTAGTTTCATATGTACATCATTAGCACGATTTTGTTTGTTGTGACCAAACAATATCCCACTGTCATCACCTTTCTTCCAGATTCAACTTTTGTTAATCATTGTCCCTAACTAATTACKGTTGAAGTCAGCAAGAGTCTTTCCATTGATCTTAATGAGAAATCATTCAGGCTGCATGATAAAATGGCTGGTGCTTCATGGTGTACTTGCTTCTCTCCTCTTTTTTTAGCTGCTGGGGTCAGAATACATCTAGTTACCTTCTG